GTTCCGGTATGTTGTATTGGCATTATTGTTTAATTGTAGAAACTGTCTAAGTTCTTCCTTAATTTCATCTGTGACCCATTGGTTGTTCAGGAGAGTGTTAATTTCCATGTGGTTTTTTTTTTTTTTTTTTTTTTTTTTTGGTTTTTTTCCAGTACCGGGAATCGAACTCACGACCTTGTGCTTGCCAGGCAGGTGCTGTGCCACTGAGCTAAATCCCCAGCCCAATTTCCATGTGTTCATGAAGTTCTTGTGGGTTTTTTTGCCATCAATTTCCAGTCTTATTTTGCTATGGTCTGATAATATAAATGGGATAATTTGAATTCCTTTGCATTTACTTCAGCATGTTCTGTGAGCTAGTATGTGGTCTGTTTTGGAGAACATCCTATGTGTAGCTGAGAAGAATGTGTATTCTGATGTTGTGGGGTGGAATACCCTGTAGACATCTACTAAGTCCATTCATTCAAAAGTTTGGTTCACCAGCACTTGGGAGCCTGAGGCCAGAGGATTGTTGTGAGTTTGAGGCCAACCTGTGCTATAAAGGCCAGCCTGAACTGCACAGCGAGACCTTGTCTCAAAAAGACAATGAAAAAAAAAATTTTGGTTCAGTTTTGATATTCCTTTGTTGATTTTTTTTGCTCTGATTGATCTTTCTTTTTGTGACAGTGGGGTATTGAGGTCCCCCATTATAATTATATTGGTGCTTATTTGATTTTTCTTGTCTGTTAATATTTGTTTTATATGGTTGGGTGCACTGGTACTTGTTGCATATATATTTATGATTGTTATTTCTTCCTATTGGATTGTTCCCTCTATAAGGATGCAGGGACCTTCTTTGTCTCTCTTAATCAGTCTCGGTTTGAAATTCACTGCTTGCAAATAAAATGGCCCCCCTGCTTTTTTCTGGGTTCCTGTCATGTAATGTATTGTTTTCCATCCTTTGACTTTCAGTCTATGAATTTCTTTTTGAATTAGATGTGTTTTTTGTATCCAGCATACTGTTGGATCTTGCTTCTGGACTCATTTTGTTAAACTGTTTCTTCTGATTGGTGAGTTGAGACCATTTACATTGACGCTTATAACTGATATGAACTGACTAATCCTTGTCATGTTATTTTCCTGTTGTTGGTTCCCTTTTTATCCCTTCTGTTTAATTGCTTGCCTTGCCTGGTGGATTCATTCTGTTAGGGCTTATAGCAGCGTAGTCCTTGTTATCTCTCTCTTTTTTTTTTGTTTTTCTCCGGTACTGGGAACCAAACTCACGAACTTGCGCTTGCCAGGTAGGCGCTTTGCCGCTGAGCTAAATCCCCAGCCACAGTCCTTGTTATCTCTTTCTAGAATGTCCTTCAAAACATTTTGAAATGCTGGCTTTCACGGTCATGAATTTCCTTAGATATTCTTTGTCATGGAAGTATCTTATTTCTTCATCAATTTTCAAAGATAGTTTTATGGGGAACATCAATCTGCATTGGAGGTTGTTTTTTTCTTTTAGGATTTCAATTACTTCAAGCTCTCCTTGGAGTTTGTTTTCTTTTAGGATCTGAATTACTTCAAGCTCTCCTTGATGTGATGGTTTGTGTTAACAAGTCTGATGTGAGCCTGAGGGGCTTTCTTTTATAAGTGACTTGTTTCTGGTCTCTAACAGCTTTTAATATTCTGTTCTTGGGTTGAATTTCTGGAATATTCAGTATTATATGCCTTGGTGTGGATTTTTTTTAATCATGGCTAACTGGAGTTCTTTGTGGTTTTTTTTTTTTGTACTGGGAATAAAACTCAGGACCTTGGGCTTGCCAGGCAGGCACTTGAGCCACTGAGCTATATCCCCAGCCCCTGAGAAATTATATCTGATTGGATTTTTTTTTCTAGAGCCTCATTCATCTGCTTTGTTACTTCTGCTAGTACCGCTGCGGAGAATCCAGGTGGGTGGCTTTTGAATTGGTGCTCTAGACCTCTGGGGGTGCATCTTGCTTAAGTGTCCTCCTTTTATCTTTTCTTTTTTTCTTTTTTTTAGTTTAATTCCTGGTTTGATGCTTGTAAATTGTTTATGGCAAGTAGTTTTATTGCTAGTGTTTGGAACCCTTGGAAATGATTAAATCTCGGCAATGTCTTCCAAGTGTAGCTGGCTTTTGGGTTTTGAGTCTGTTGCAAGATCTTACTCCTTCAATTTATTGGGGATGAGAAGTTGCTGCTTATTGGGCCTAGCCTCTGGTTCTTTGGCACTGGGCTATAGATTTGATTATGACTCTGAAGGTATCTCAGTCTTAGCATACCAGGAAAAAGAACTCATTTGAATAATTATGTCTCTGGCTAACGTGGTGTAATCAGCAATAACAATAGCATCGAGCACTGCCTAGAAAATGACAAACTGTGGTAACTATTGATTTGCTACCTTTAACTGTGTGAACTAGATCTGTGCTTATGTAACAAAATCTACAACAAACCGGAAAACTGTGTACTGTAAACATTGCTGCCATATGGAGATTTTACCCACAGGACTGAAATTTTAAAAGGGATTAGGGGAAAAAATAGATAAATAGAAGAGGAAGAGAGATTAGAACCAAGGCCAGAGGACAAAGGAAGAGTATGAGAACTTTGGGGAACTGGTGAAGAAGATAGAAGAGAAAGAGAGAAGGAAGAAATATAAATAAGAACAGAGCAGAATGACAACCACAAAAAAAAAAAAAAAAAACTGGAAACAATGTTAGCATTCATAGAAAAGCAAAAATAGTCAAGAAAAAAAGAAAACAGAAAACAAAACAAGAAGAAAAAATAAGAAAAAAATTACATCTACTTTAAGGTGTGTCTCTGTTGTCACTGGCAAAGAAATTGGGCAGGCAGAGCCCAGATCCGTGTTGATCACCCCAGCAAGCCAGCTATGGATTTACAGTGCAGTAGTGGATAATCCCAGGAAGCCTGTACCTAGCTCCACTGAAGTTTAGGTCGGTTTCTCACCATGAGGCTAGAACCCAATTTATTTAGCCTGTGACCTTCCGTGTGCCTCCCACCAGCTTGAACTCAGGTCCTTGACCTCTTGCTGACTTGAATTCAGTCAGCCTCACCCTGACACTGGGAGACACTAGATGGAGCTGCCCTGGAGCTGTTCTGAGTTCCAAGCCCAACTGGCCTCTCTCCAAGATGGCTCATTCCAAGATGGCAGACTGCAGTGGCTGGTGAGTTATGTGGGTTCAGACATCCCTCAGGTTGGCCAGTCTCCCTCTCCTGAGGGATGTCTGAACCCAAATAACTCACCAGCCACTGCAGTCTGCTGCTTCCACTGCTCCATTCCACTAGTGCGTTTCTTCATGGAGGCCTCTGGGGTCGCTGGTAGTCATGGTGGGTCTGCAGGTTTGGGCCACCCTTCCCACACAGCGGGTCGGGGCTCAGGGAGAAAGTGCTGCTTGCCACCCCCTTCACTGCGGTCTCTCTTCACTCTCCCTGTCAGCTTCCATGCTCACTTCAGATCCTTGCTGGGTCCTGAGAACCCACTTCCCACCTTCTTCTCTTCATCCCACTCTCCAAGAAGCTGTTTTTGTGCTGTTCATCACTTTGCCGTCTTCCTCTGGAGGCCACCTTCATTTTCTATTAAGTTACCTCTTTATGGGGCTGGGGATTTAGCTCAGCGGCACAGCGCCTGCTTGGCAAGCCCAAGGTCGTGAGTTCGATTCCCAGTACCGGAAAAAAAAACAAAAAAAAAGTTACCTCTTTAATGATCCTGTCTCAAAGTCACAAAAGCTGGGCACTATACTCCTAGCATTCAGGAAGCTCAGGCAGGAGGCTCATGTGAGTTCAAGGCCAGCTTTGGCCACACAGAGTTCAAAGCCAGCCTGAACTCCATAGTGAGACCTTGTCTCAAAAAACAACAAAAAAAGAAGGAGCCTTTAGCTGACAGGAGCTCTGTTCCAGAACCCTGCTTGAGCTGACTGGACCTGTTGCGTGCCTGCATATGTCCCTGTCCTTTTAGTTGTGGACCAATTCGGAAGGTTACGTGTTCAGAAGCCAACCAGAACCCTCGTAGGGTGTCAGAGTAGGACAGAGAGATGCCAGTGACCCTCTACAGGACCTGCTGTGCAGCCCCTGCCTCCTTGAGGTCATGCTGTGTGCCACACGTCCCACCACCCCACACCCAGCTACCGCCAAAGTGATTGTCCCAGAGCCCCCTATCTCCTTGTGCCTGGGCCGTGTCCAGCGTAGATAAATGAGCTGGCCTCTAGGGTTTATACAGGGAAATAACAAGAGGACACTGAGTCAGCCGTGGGCACTGAAGCATCAGCAACCCAGAAGGTGGTGGAAATGGGAGAGTTTGGGGGTGTCTGAAGGATGCTGGAAGCTAATGTGGGTGGGTATGTCGCTCACCACTGCCTGTCCCGAGAGGAAGGCTCTGAGGGGCCCATGTTTCTATTTCCTGGTCTTGGATGACCCAGGGTCCCGATATCCTGGGCCATCCATGACCCTGAGTAAATGCACCGTGGCTCATTGAGCAGGATACCTGCTGGCCGAGGACCTGTCCCTCTCAGCAAGGACCTGGCCTTCATCTCCTGGGCCCTGGCCTCACCTCTGCTGGACTAGCAGCTTTACGTGGCCAGGGGAGCCTGTCTGGGGACCCTCTGCCCTCCCCGTGGGTGCAGCCGCAGGGGACCCCCTGGGCAGGGTGCGGAGACCCTGTGGTGGCCCCTGGTGGCCCGGCTTTGGTCCGAGCCAAAGGGCACCTCCGTACCAGCCTGGTCTTCCTGGCCCTGGTAGACCCTTTTCCCTGTGACAGGAGTCCTGTGTGGAGGCCCTCAGGAGTGGGGTGCCCCTTTATTCCCTTGTGTCACTGTCCTCCATGGGCAGAGAGGGAGAATCGACAGCCCGGTGAAGCCTCACGGCCGCGGTCTCAGTCCTGCAGACCCCGCGCTGTGGGGAATGCGGAGCCGGGCTCGGTGCTGCTGAAGGGTTGGCTGGGGAGCCTCTGGCCAGGGTCTCCCCGCTGTGACCGCGCACACCCCCTCCCTGCCCCCACACAGCTCGCGGAGCGGCTGCTGTACTCGGGCAGCGCCGACAGGACCGTCAAGTGCTGGCTGCCAGACGCCGGGCACAGCGTGCGCACCTTCCCCGCCCACCGCCGCAGCGTCAGTGCCCTCAAGTTCCACGCGGGGACCTGTAAGTGGCTGCCGTGGCCCCGCGCCCCAAACCCTCTGTCTTCAGAGTTGAGTATGGTTTTCCCTCCCTGAGCCTCAGCTGGGATCCGAGACCTAGGGTCCCAAAGGCAGGGCCCTTCTCCTGGCTGTTCAGAGGTCATGCGTGGGCATGGGGTCTTCCCACCTCTAAGAATGTAAAGCAGGGCATGGCGGTGCACACCTGTAATCCCAGCACTCAGGAGGCTGAGGCAGGAGGGCTGCCTCAAGTTTGAGCCCAAGCCTTCGTGCATAGTGAGTTTGAGGCCAGCCTGGACTACATAGTGAGAGCCTGTCTAAAAAACAAAAGAAATGCAGTGATCCGAATGTTCAGGGGTCCTGGGGTGAAAAGCCTGTCCCAAGGACACCTTCTGACTCTAGGAGAGACTGCGACCCCTTAACCCAGGCAGACTCGGGTGCAGTGAGTCTGGCCTCACTTGCCTTAGGCTTGACCTTGGGTAAGAGAAAATCCAGGTTTTGTGGTTTATTTTTTATTTTTTGGTTTTTCTCCAGTACCGGGAACCGAACTCACGACCTTGCGCTTGCCAGGCAGGCACTTTGCCGCTGAGCTAAATCCCCAGCCCCAGGTTTTGTGGTTTAAATGAGGTGGTGGTGCAGCACCTGCCTGGCAAGCGCAAGATCCTGAGTTCGATTCCTGGTACCAAAAAAAAAAAAAAAAAAAAAAGGCGGGCTTTCTCTCAGGCAGAAGACTCAGGGCTGGCACCCTAAGAGGCTGCACAGGGCTGCCGGGCTCCCAGACCCTTCTGTCTCTGCCTCCTTGTCCATCCCGTCTTCTTCCTTCAGTGGAGCTTCATGCTTCAAGACAGCTGCCGGGGTGCCAGGCATTGACTCATGTTTTAGGCAGGCAGAAGGAAGAACTAAGGGCAGCATCTAGCTGTGACCTGCCCAAGATGGTTCCCGGAAGCCCCTCTGAAAGGCCTCTGCTTGTAGCTCCCAGAATTCCACCCGCCAGAGAGGCTCAGTGAGGGTGGACGTTACTGGGAAGCTGAGTCAGGCTCGTGTTGGAAGGAAGAAGGGCAGACGCCTCAAACTGTGGGCTCTGTCCAGTTGGGGCCAATTGGCTGAACACATTTATACCCAGGACGTGGCCACCTAGGGACGCGCCCTGGCGTCCGCAGGGCAGAGTGCGTGGCTGCGGTTCCCGCTGTTTTCACGAGCCCAGCAGCAGCGGTCGGCGTCCCCCGAGAATGAGGGAGGGAAGAGGCACCTGGAAAATTCGAGCTGGCCTCAGCAGAGGAGCTGGGGGTGAAACGGGCTGCTGAAACACAGCCTCGGCACCTCTTGGGGTTTAGGCAAGGGACATGGACAGCTGATTTTTGCCTTCTTCCGCGGCCAGCCCTGGACAGGAGATCGTGCCCGCGCTCCCGGCAGGGCCTGTAACGGAGAAGGGCCCCCTTCGGCAGCAGCCAGGCGATGGAAGTTCCCCCCCGCCCTCGCCTGCTGCCCACGCCACTCTGCCTGCCTGAGCCCGTCTGACTCTTGCGTTTGAGGGGTGCAGGAGAGGCGCTGAGGAGCGGTGATGAAGCCCCTCTCCGGGGCGTGTTCACCGGGAGCTCGCACAGCTGGGGAGGGGGAACGCGGGGTCAGCACCCCAAACCAGGGAGCTGCCTGGAAGCACATTTCCCTGAAGAGCGGGCGTGGGGACCCGGCCCCGGAGCTCGGGACAGCCCTCCGAGGCCGAAGGTCGCCCACACGCTGGGAGGAGGTGGCGGGGCGGCTGACAGGTCCGCGCGCTGCTGTTTGTGCAGTGTTCACGGGCAGCGGGGACGCGTGCGCCCGGGCCTTCGACGCCCAGTCGGGAGCGCTGCAGAGGGTGTTCCGCGGCCACGCGCTCGTCATCAACTGCCTGCAGGTAGGCCTGGCCTGAGCCCGCTGCCCACTCCCCGCTCCCCAGCTAGGAGGCCCCTCCAGCACCGCCCCAGACCTCACCTGACGGCCTGCCCCCCCTGCAGGTGCACGGCCACATGCTGTACACGGCCTCGCACGACGGTGCCCTGCGCCTCTGGGACCTGCGCGGGCTCCAGGCGCCGTGCCCCAGGCCCACGGCCAAGCGCAGCCTGCCGCGCCTCTTCAGCAACAGGGTGGCCTGCACCCCAGCCGCGCCCCTGCAGCCCGCCTGAGAGGGTCGCGTTGCTGCGGGGGAGCGGGACGGGCGCCCAAGCCCGGGTGAGAGCTGCCCGGCTCCCCACGCCCTGCTGCAGGGCCGCCTGCTGGCGTTGCGGTGCGTGCCCTACCCTCGGGGACACTTCTACCCTGAGCCGTCCCCACCCTGCCCCCCTTAGCAACGCCCCAGGCCCCTGAAGCTCCCGGGAGGCGGGCTCCCTTTATCCTCAGTGGTAAGGGGGGTTTATTTTACAAAAGCCGCGGAACCAGATTGTTGCTGGGGCAGATTGTCCAGAGTCCGCACGAAGAACTCAAATACATGTCTTCAAAGTTAAAAGTGCTCCGTACATTTTGTTCTGCAAACCAAATCTTGGCTTCCTTTGTGGGCAGGGCACAGCTCTGCCTCCTGGCCGAGACCGGGGGCCGCCACCAGTGTCACCGTGGGGAGTGGCTGCAAAAGAGGCCAGGGAGGAAGGGGTTGGCATCCGGGTGCCCTGCTCTGGAGGTTTTCCAGCGCAAGTCCAGGAAGGAGCCTCTCCCATCCAGGGCTGTGCAGACGGGTGGCCCCGCTGTGCCAGGCGTGCTGGCGCACAGGCACCCTGCCAGGAGGAGCTGAGAGGCCAGGAGCCTGCTCGGCACCCCGCCCTCCCGAGGGGTGCGTGTCAGCCCCTGGTGCATCCAGTGCCCTGTGCTGCTTCCTGGTGAAGGACAGTGCAGGTGACACTGCCTGACATGAAGAGGCAGGCAGCTCACCGTGCAGAAGGCTGAGGCCAGGCCGCCCGCGCTTTCTCAGAGTGCAGCTACTTCCCAGGCAAGGTGTGCCGGCCCGCAGGCGCCAGCCGCTCTCCAGACGCCGGGCCGCGTGGGCGATCTCAGCACACGGGCAGGGCGGCTGCACACATTTGGGCTGGGGCTCTGGGCCGGCCCCTGGGCGCGCTGGCACAGACGCTGCTCTCTGGGGGGCCCTGAGGTACTCAGCCCCTCGGCGCAGGGCCATCACCGCCGGCTGAACGGAAGCTCCTCTCTGGTCAGAGGCGAAGGGACGCTGCAGGAGTGGCAGGGAAGGCGGGGTCCTGCGCGGAACCCGCTCCTGCCCAGAGCCCGTGCCGCGCACTGGGGACTCAGAGCCGCGTCAGCCACAGCGGACGAGAGCCTCCCACCACCTCCCCCAGAGCAGCAGCCTGGAGACGGACCCGGGCTGCTACGCCTGCTCTCAGGGAACCATTCTTCCTACCTGTGGCACAGCACGCGGGGTGACTTCCACGGTGGCCCTGAGGACACAAACACGGCCACGCGTCCCTGCGGCTGGCCCCCGGCCCGAGTCGCGCTGAGCGTGGTTACACTGGCTCTCCGCCCCTCGGGTCCCCAGTGGCCACAGCCCCGCTCCCGTGCTCCGAAGGAGAAAGCTGGGCGGCAGGTGAGGCCTGGTGCTGCCGCACTTGCCCGCGTGCAAAAGAAACTCGGTCCCCAGCACCACGAAGATTTTTTTAAAAGGAAGAGAACCGTTGTCTTTGATGAGTTTGTTCAGTTGGCCAGGAGGACAGAACTCTGGGTATCGGGGCACAAACAGCGACGGCACAGCAGTGCGACCAGGGCCCAGGGCAGGAAGATCTGACGCAGCAGGTGAGCGTGGAGGTCACCACCAAGCACCGCCCATCACTGCGCAGCCCCAGGCGCCGGCCTCCGCACCCCCCGGTGCCGGCCCAGGCTGGGGCTCCCAGCTGCCCGGCTCCCTCCGGTCAGGCCCTGCCTGCTTTTCAGGCTCTAGGGTTGAACTCAGCAACCCTCTACCCGCTCCGTCCCCTTCCCCCTTTGTAGGCCCAGAAGCGTCCCACGTACTCAGCCTTTCCCCCGCCAGCACCCTGCCGACCCACGTCTGGAACGCGCTTTTGCCTGACTCCCCAAGGAGACCCCTGGCCCTTTGGTGACATCTCCAGCTGCCCCTGCGGGCCCAGCTCGTCAGCCTGCAGTGGCCGTACCACCCTGGCAGGACAACGGCTTGTCAGCCAGAGCTTTCAGGGAGCCCCCATGCCAGGTCTGCCACCAAGCGAGGCCCAGACTCCCCACCCTAGCTGACAGCCGCGCCCCACCCTCGCCAAGCCCCAGGCCCTGCTCCCGCGCGGCCTCCCCAGAGCAGCGCCCTCCCGCCCGAGGCCAGCCCTCCTTCCTCCGACACTGGCACCGAACGGACTCCGGGTCACCAGGAGGCAGATACCGTCAAACAGTTTTTATTTCCAGCGGCATCACCCGCTTTGAAGCACTGGCGAGGGCTCCTGCCCAGATGTCCTGTCTGCGCTGCTGTTCGCTCTGCAAACACCGCGGCATCGCCGGTGGGCTCCGGACGGGCACAGCCATCCTGCCTTCGACCTGAGGCGCTCCCCGGGGCCCCGGAAAGCAAGGGTCTCAGGGACACGCGGTACTTGGTCCCCTCCGCACGAGGCTGCTGCCAGCTGTGCCCTGGGTGCTGGCCAGTCGTGCGTCCCAGAGAAGTCACCTGAGCGGCACAAAGTGACCACATCCCTTGGGGATCGTCTTCTGTCACAGAAATCCCCGCCCCCCCACAGCAAGAAAAAACATTTCTACGCCTGAGAGGTCTCAGAAGTGCGTTCCTATGATAGCAGGGTCTAAAAATGTTAATTCAAAGTTATACGTTCTTTGCTTAGCATTTAAAACTTTCGCATTTAATAAAAGACTGAGGCATTCCGGACGCACAAGAAGTCAGCGCCAGCCTTGAATTTCAAGCGCACATCGCTCTGAGCTACAGGGAGCGTCAGCGTCTCCGGACACAGGCCTGGGCCGCGTCTAGGCCGCGCGGCAGCTGGAGCGAGGACCCAGGGGACGACTGTGGGGGCCGGGGGTGGGGGCTCCAGCGGACAGGCTCACAGCAGCAGGTGGGGAAGGCAGCTGTGTGCAAGGCTGGGTGACAGGAAGGGCAGCGGCCAGGCCTGCGTGCCCCGTGCACACCCACGCCCTGGAGGCCTCTCCCACGGCCACGTTCTCAGGAACACAGGCGCCAGCTCCCCACTGCTGGGGAGAATCCAAGCGGGGAGGCAGAGAGGGGGCGCCGCGCTGCAGACAGACGGGGACGGGCAGGGCAGAGCCCGCGGGGCCGCCTTGGCCTTTCCTACCACGAGGAGGAAGCGCTCCGGAGCAGCGTCAGAGGACAGCAAGAACGAAGGACCCGCGCTGGGCTTTTTGCAATGACAGAATTTATACGCAGAAATGCACTCATTTCTGTCACGGCTTAGTTGGTTGCTGACTTTATATTTTCTACATAGGACAAGTACTCTGCAATAATAATCTCCTCGTCTTCCAGAGTGGAGTCGAGATAATCTTCCTCGTGCTCGGGGATGTCCTCCAGGACCTCGTTCACAGCCTCGGTCTCCATGTCCTCGTCTGTGGAGGCACTGGAGGTTCCTACGGGGACACGGCAGGGTGAGCGGGTAACAAGGACAATGTCCGGGGACGACAGCAGAACTGAAGTCCCAGGGTCCGGCCGCTCCAGCCCCAGCAGGCCTACCTGCGGAGTCCGAAGGGGACGTGGATGGCGTGGACGAGGAGTCTTCCTCCGACAGCTGCAGGTCGGGAGGGAGGCTGCCGCCGTGGTGCGCGAGGGTCTGTGCCGCCAGCTGGACGTTGCCCCTGAACACCCTCAGCGCAGCTTCGGCCACTGCCGGGTCGAAGCCCATGTACACCAGCTGGGGCAGAGCGGGGGGGTGACGGGGCTGTGACCCTCGGCGCCCAGGCTACACAAACCACACGCCTGCCACCCCAGGGCACAGCAAAGGGGAGCCTTCCCGTCACAGTGACTCCAGCACGCACACCACTGCCCTTCCCCACACGCCACCCTCAGCCCCTGCGTGCACAAGGCCTTCGGCAAAGGTCACCTTGGGACAGGGCCAGCTCGGGCTCGGGCTGAGCACGGCCACGCAAACCTCACCAGGAGCGCTGGGAATTGGGTGGCCACGTGGTGTATGTGCCACATGACGACAGGGGCAGCATGGACAGAGCCACCCCTGGGCACACGAGGACCGGGCTTTCCACAGCAGAGACGGGGCTGACACAGACAAGGCGCTCTGCCCTGCCAGCCCCTTAGGGAAACCCCTGCTTGCGGTGCAGACTCACGCGGTCCCCGCCACCCAGGCCTCCCCAGCTGTCGCGGGAGGCGGCGCTCACCTGGTCAATGCCCTCCTGGGAAGGGCTCTCTCGGCGGCTGCTGGGATCAGGGGCCGAGTCGTTCAGCCACCACATGTGAGGGTTCCCGAGGAGGATCTGCAGGCGGGGACCACTGCTCTCACTACTGCCCCCCCGGCCACACCCCACCCGACTGGGCCAATCGAGGAGAGACCAGGGCAGGGGGCGGGGAGAAGAGGGGCCCAGGCAGGGAGACCCCCCCCCCGCCTCCCCCGCGGTGTTTGCGGGAGCCAAGGTGCAGCGGGAGAGCGAGCACCAGGCCGAGGCAGACGGCTGGAGGACAGAGTAGCATCCACTAGGTCCCGGGCAGAGAGGCGATGCTGGGGACACATGTGGAGGAGAGCAGGCCAGAGCCCGCGGGCATGGGGTGTGGGCAGAGGGGCGCGGGCTCCCCAGGCTGCTGCTGCGCCGTGGAGTTGCCGCACGCTGCAGCTCAAAAGCCGAGAGTAAGACTGTCTCCAACCTCTCATTACTCTTCTTTCTGGGGACAGGGTCTCACTGCATAGTCCAGGCTGGCCTCAAACCTGTGATTCTCCTGCCTGTCTCCTGCGGGCTGGGCTTACAGCTGGCACATCCAGCTTCCCGCCCCTTTGTATGTGTCCAACACACAAAAAAAGACTAGCCCCTCCGATAGCAAAATACATGCAAGCAAAACTACGACCACGCGCACCCGAGGCACCGGCGGGGACACCGACCGCAGCGCGGCTCCGGCTACCTGCCACTCCCGCGCTCCGCAGCGGCCCACAGCCCTGCCGTGGGCCCAGCCTCCCCTCTGCTCGTCCACCCTGCAAGCCCTGCCTGAGCGCCCCGCACAGGCCCGCGGCTGCCCAGGAACGGGTCCAGCTCTGCCCCGCCGCACTCGGCCTTCCCCACACCCCCCGTCTCCTAGGACGCAGCTCTGCGGCGAGCACAGCAGGGTCCCTGCCTCACGCGGCTGTGGTGCAGCCCAGCACCAGCCCAGGACCCAACCTGCCCCGCGGAGACGCACCCCGCTAGGCACAACTGTCTCGTGTCCTTAAAACGCTCCTTCTGCCAACAGCTACGACCAAGGGCACAGCACTGGATATCCAAGACAAAACCTAATTCGAAGACTGCAGCTTCACTGTTCTCTCCTCGTGCTCAGTCACCCCACCGCACTGACCCTCTCTGCGGCCAACACAGGCCCTGCGGGAGGCGGGGGCTGCCAGCGTGACGGGTGCTACGCCCCCAGCCGGGAGGCCTTGGCTAGAGCTGGAGCAGGCATCGCTCTTGCTCTGCCACTCGGCCGGAGGCCCACAGAGCGGAGCGCACAGGAAGTGGGCAGAGGGCCCGGGCAGGCCGGGAGGACGGCACCTTCAGGGCTCCGTCCAGGTCCCCGCCGGCCTGATGCAGGGCCTGCTTGGCGGCACGCGCAGAGTAGCCCATGCCTTTCAGGGAGTTGATGTTCTCCAGGCGGTGCCGCTTCTTCTCCTTCTCCTCTCGCCGGATCTGCGCCAGCTCCTTCGGGAGAAAAGCAAGGCCACAGGTCAGAGGCCGGGATTCTGCAGCCCGCTTCCCAGGCCACCAGGCAGGGTGAACAGAGGGAAGGGGCGCCTCTCTCCCTGTCCTGTGGCAGGAGGGGTCCTGGGTGCTGGTGAGGCAGCTGGGGGAAGTGGAGCCTCAGCCCAGACAGGAAGGAGGCACCCCACGAACCCCACTGTACAGGTCCCTTCCGGACGAGGGCCACAGCTTCCTGCACAGGGACCATGTCCCCAGCCGTGAGTTGCCCCCGTCATGTGAATCATGGTGCCATCTGGAGAGGTGGCAAAGGTCCGTGCCAGAGCTCTCGGAGTGGGGGAGGTAAAGGCCACCTAACCCCACGGTGCAGACGCCGCTGCTCACAAGGGCCTGAACTGCCCGCTGACAGTTCTAGTCCCCTTCTTTCTCCCACCCCTGGCCCAGCCTGGACCAACTGTGTACTTGTTTTATAAATGGAAACACCCATAAAAATGTCATTTTTAGCTGCTTAAAGAAATGGGTTTGCTGGGCATGGTGGTGCATGTCGATAATCTCAGCACTTGGGAGGCTGAGGCAGGAGGACTGAAATGAGTTAAAGCCAGTCTGGGCTACATAGTGACACTCTCTCAAAAAAACAAAAGAAAGGGGGTTTTGGTGGGGGACTGTAGCTCAGTGGTAGAGCACCTCTCTCACACGGAGTTTTTTCTTTTTGTTTAGTACAGCAATCGAAATCAGGACCTTGCGCTTGCCAGGCAGGTGGTGTGCCGCTGAGCCACATCCCTGGCCCTCACACGGGGTTTCAATCCCTAGCACTGGGAAAAAAAACCAAAACCCTCCACAAGTCTGAAAACCCCACTAACTTAATCCAATCTCATTTTCCAATGAGGAGACAGAAATTTCCCCAGAAAGCTAATAACGGTGCCGAGGCTGTGGAGACGGGGGCAGCAGTGAGCAGGGGTACAGGGGCCTGCGCAGCTGCTTCTGGGGCGCCTGGGCAGCGCCCCTCTACTTCCTGCAGCAGGAAATGGCCTGGCTTCTTAGGAGATGAGCAAACAGCGCGGCGGCACCGTACCGGGTCCCACAGCGTCGGCAGGAGAACTGGGCCCAGCAGGCACCCACGTCTCGCCTCCGCGTCAGCCGCTACCACACCAGCTCCACTACGCTTTAAGTCAGGCTCTGACCCACCATCCTCGTTTGTAAATGAGAATCACTGTCCTCGTGCCCTCAAAGGGAGTCACAGACCTGAACAACATGAGTGTGAGTTTCTGAACTATACAGTATTGTAATGAAAGTGTTTAAATGACCTCTTTTTAAAATCCCGGCTTTCCAAATGCTATGGAATCACATCAGTAACTAAGTTAACAGTAAAGTGACCGATTTAACGTTCATGACAGCTGCTCTCCCAGCAGTGCCGAATCAGAATCCAGCTCCCCCAGGGCCTTGCTGTCACTGACATCCCCTGCACCGAGAGCCGGGAGCCAGGCCTGGTGAAAAGACAAGCAGCCAGGCTGCGGGAGGCGATGCCCACACGGCCCCCGCGCGGGCTCAGCCCGCAAGGACCAGGCAGGCAGAGGACCAAGGGCCCTTCCGGCCCCCCTGCAGTCTCTTAGCCTGCTTCCTCAGCAAAAAGGGGAAGAGAACATGCGAGAAGATTCTAGAGTCCTCTGGCTGGACTCACAGCTGGGAAGGACCCGTGAGAACCTAGAGCAACGCGCTGCTCTGGAGAGGAGAAGCAGCTCGCGGGCACTCCCCACCGTCAGCGCTGCCCGCGCTCAGGTCCTGCGGGGCAGTAATATGCTGGCGTAAGGCTCCTTCCGGAGCCACAACCCTAGCGCTTCCTCGAACGCACGGCTTGGACACGACTGTTCTTCACCTCTGCTTTCATAACATAATGCCGTTTCTATGGCTTGACCAACGCTCCAGGCAGGAATGCAAGCCCACCCCATCTGCACGCGGCGGCCCCATGAAACGCGCAGCGCCCTTCAGAACGGCTCCCAGAAATGCGCGGCAGTGCCCAGCGAGGGTGAGCGCGCGGCGCGCACAGGACGCTGTGCTCCCGGGAGGCTCAGGCAACCAACACACCCGTTACTCCTTCCTCGCCGTTACTCCAGCCTCTCCTGGGTCGGCCTCTCACAGCGCTCACACCTGAGGGAGCTCAGCACTTGGGAAACGCGCACGCCCACCTCACGTCACAAGCTCTCAAAGCACGGCTCGGCACGTGAAGCGCTACCTCTCTGCGGTTGGAGATGTGAATGGCCGCGTGGTCCACGTTGCCGTCGCAGGCGCGCAGGGCCAGCCGGGCCTCCTGGGGGGTGAACCCCAGCTGCATCAGGCTGTGCACTTTCGAGGGGTCGATGTGCAGCTCCTTGAAGAGCAGCCGTGCCTACAGACCGGGAGAAAGGAAGATCAAATCAGGCGGCCGGGGCAACGCAGAGCGCAACCAACACGGAGCGGAAGCCTGAGACCTAGAGACACCCAGTGAGGATGACTGCGTGCCGGACTACGCCAGAAACACAGCCGACCTACCACCGACCGGCACGAGCGGGGGCAGCGCGGACTCGCCCGCTCAGCTGACGCCCGCACAGCCCGAGCGAACAGGCCGGGGGCCGCGGGCCTGACGGACCACGAGCCCAGTCTGCGTAACGAATCTCCCCGGAGCCGAGGCGCGCAGCTAGGCGAGCTCAGGCAGCTGAGGCTGGGTCCCCGGCGTGCAGCCGAGGACAGGCGCACGTCCAGCCGCCTCCGGGACTCCACCCCTCCAGACCACGCTGCCGTGGGAGGCACTGACAAGCAGGCCGCCCATGGGCGCTGCCGCCTCTAGGCTAAGAGGCAGGGCACACACTCCTGTCCAAGTAGAGTCACTGTGCGTCTCAAGTGCGCTCCTCACAGCACCCTGCCGGACCCCAAGGAATGCGCATGCGTTCCCGGTGTCCGAGGGGAGAGTGGTGAGGGAAAGGCACGGGCTCCTCAGTCGCCCACTGCTGAGCTCACAAAACGCTTCGCTTCTGGGCAGCAGGAAAAAGGCCCCGAAAACGCAAGCGGTCACCACGCACCCTTCTTACCTTATTGAGATACTCACGGGCCTCTTCTCCATTCCCACTGTGGTAGTTTCGGATCCCCTGAAGCAAGTAAAGTCTTAAAAACAACACCTTCTCTTTCCCACAGTTTCCCTACAGTTATCAGGGGGAAAAGGATAAAACGTCTTATTTCAGATTGCAGGTGCGTCACGCTCACATCCCTCCTCCTCCACGGGGCGACGGCACCACTGTTGTGACGACACTCTGCGGATGCCAAGCGCAGGGACCCCAGCACACGGGGAGGACGGCTCAGGACACCTGGCCCCTCGGTCTACAGGGAAGGAGTGGGAGTTCCCTCCAGGCAGAAGACCTCCCGCAGCAGCAGGAGCCCGAGCGCTTGGGGGAACGGGAGGACGTGGAGCTGACGCAGCCCTGAAGCCGTGTGGACCGCGGTGAGCTGTCAGCACGCGGACGCCCGCTCTCTGCCCGTGCCTTGCTCAGATGGGACTGAGCCAAGCGTCCCGGGCTGTCTCCGGTCCAGGGAGACGGGAGGTGGAGGTCTAGGCCTAGAAAACTGCCTCCTCCAGGCTCGGCACACACCAAAGAGACGGCCACATTGAGCACTTCCTGAAACACAGCTCTGAAAAAGCACACTGCATGCGACCACTGGAATGAAATCACCTCTAAACACATTTATAGGAATAAACAAGAACTTCTGAAACAGGCCTAAAAACACACAGATTACGGTAACATACCTTTATGTGGACCAGCCGCTGATGATTTTCTCCGTAACAATTTTTCAAGCATTTCTGGGCCAGGCTGAGCTTCTTTTCTGCATCGTCAAGGCATTCCAGCTGCTCCAGGCGGAAGTAGCACCACACGATGTCCAGCTGGAGCACAGCGTAGTTGTCCACGATGTCCAGCAGCTCTCGGCCGCACTCACTGTGAGGAGAGGGCACCACGTCACTGCTGGGCCGCGCTAGGGCTTTTGAAAGTGAGTTCCTGGACTGCTCCCCCAGTTCTTGGTGTATTTTCAAAGACTGTTTAAAAATAAAGATCCCAGTGCCTACAGGATACACACACGCGTGCACACACACGCACCCCTTTCTAGGCTTGAAGGGCCCCACCAGGAAGCAGAACCCGTGGCCATCATGTCAGCACCCTCCGCACACTGGAGAAGACGCTTTCACAGGGCGCTTTGAACCCTTGACTGCAGGTCTGCATTGCCCACACGTGAGGGTTCTCAATCTGTGTGCTCCCTTCCTCTTCCAGAAATACTGATGCGGTGACTGCCCCCCAAGACCAATGGAAGTCTCTGGGGATGGTGGCTGGATGTTTTACTGTATTTCGAACCTGCCCAAGCGACTCCAACGTGCAGGAAATGCTAAGAGCCGTCCTAAATCACCACATCCGGAGAGCACCTCAACTGCTGACACCGTGCCAGAGCACCCACACGCGGGCGGGGAGGAAGCCCAGCCAGAAACACCAGGCCGTAACGTCTAGCTGCCTTCTGAAGGACCACGTACAGACGAGAGGCTCCTCTGCAGCTGGGCCACTGGACCGGACCCAGGCAGGGAGACAGACAGACCAGACAAGCAGAATGCAGGTGAAGATGTCCCTGAAGTTACCTCTCTGGACTCTAGGTTGTCATTTCCTAACACTCGTGACAGAAACCTAGACCTCAAGTCTTCAGTAAGAAAGAAGACGGCTGTTCTGGAAGCACGCAGTGACCGTGTTAGAAGTTCTCTCTGTTTTCACTGGGTTCTACTGAAACACGGCTGTTCAGTCTCCTGCACTGTGTCAACACATGCTCAGCTGGCGACCATCAAATGCAATCTCGTTTTGTCATTTATCCTTTACAACAGTGGTCTCGGCCAGGCGTAGTGGCGCACACCTGTAATCCCAGCACTTGGGGGCTGAGGCAGGACTGCTGTGAGTTCGAGACCAGTCTGGGCTACATAGGGAGTTGAAGGCCAGCCTGAACTGCATAGCGAGACTCTATCTCAAAAAGACTAAATAAATAAATAAGCAACAGTGGTCTCCCGAGGGGAGAGCCTAGATGTAGTCCAACCAGACGGAGGCAATAAAAACATGTTAGAGCAGTGTTTTTATATCTATTTACTGCTCTTTTAACTTTCCATCTGTGACTATTTGCTAACACGTACACCATACATTTTGCACACACATAGGTGCAGGGCTGGTGATGGATGCGCCCTAAAATCTGCTGCTCAGCCTGAGGACCCGATCCGGAGAGAAGGGGAGGGAGCTGCGTGCTGAGTCTCAGCTCACGCTCCAGGAGAGCTCCTGGTCTGTCTGTAACACGCCCAGGTTTCTGCGGCAGAGCAGGTCCTGTCGTTCACGGGAACACGACGGACATCCTGCCGCACTTTTCAACCTCTCACATGTGTGATCAGGCTCTTCCAATAAAATACCAAGAATAAGAGCAGCAAAGGTCTCACTTCAGTTAAAAAAAAAAAATCAACACGTGCTCGTGTGACCCAAAATTGTGTGTATGCAGCAAAAAGCCCACAAAACACATCAAAGCACATGTCTCCTATCAGAGGGGCACATTTTATTCTCTGAGTTTCAAGGAATCTACACCTGGGTATTATAATTTTGCAACTGCTACATTTACATCTGATCTATCAGTTGGGAAAAAAAAGGGTTTTAGAAATCTGCTGCAGAAGTATATTTTAGAGCCTACCTTTATTAATATTACCACTTTGGTTTACAGTTTTTTGGTTTATACATTGTCAGTGAACTTTCATGTTGCATTAAAGTAACTGTATAATGCTTGTTGAAATCTGAGTCTAGCTTTAGCAAAACTAAATGCTACTTGGGCTTAAGTTAGTTATTTAACAAAAATGTACTGTTTGTCTCACAAGTTTAAAGCTTTATGTAAAATATATAAAGATAACAATCGCAAGAAAATAAGCCAAGCTTAGAGATCTCTTAGAGGAAAGGTGGGTTTAGAAGCCACTTGTTTCATTGCTGGTTTGAGGGGCTGAGTGGGTTCCCATGCCTCGGTCCTGGGATTCGCCGTCCCATGAAGCTGGGGCAGTCCCAGCCCTGTTTCTCCCTCTCTGCACCCCACGCCCTCCCTGGGAACCCCGAGTGCGCGCTGCAGGGCTGAGCCGGCCCCAGCTTGCAGCTGCACTGGCATCTTTTCTTTCCCTCCCCGGGCTTCCTCCGCGCTGTCCTGAAACTAATGCCTTGTCTTCCTAAGGACTACTTTCTCCTCTGCAGTGTACTGTTAGGCTAATCACACCCGGCGCTTCGCACCATGGGCTCTGCACATCTCTCGTTTTTTGTTTGTTTATTTTTTTGAGACAGGGTCCTGCTATGCAGTTCAGGCTGAGGATGAACTCACAGTCCAGCCCCCAGGCTGGCCTCGAACTCACAGCGATCCTCCTGCCTCAGCCTCTCAGGTTCTGGGATTACAGGTGTGTGACCTATAATCAGCGTCTCCTGCCTGACGTCTCAAGCTCCCCTCCCGCCTCTCGAGTGACAGAGCACGGCTCCTGTTCTAACACCCCTCCACTAACTCCAGCCTCTGTCACTCCATCTCTTCCGCTGCCTGACGTTTCTCCTTATTTCCTCGCCCTGCATCGCTGCTGATTTGTAGCCAGACGCTGTGTGTCTGCGATGCTAAGTAACTTGGCTTCGGAAAGGATGTCCTTGCTACTTGCTGTTCACGGCCAGAGTTGGGCTAACTGCCGAGCTCTGAGGCAGCATCCTTCTGAGTGCTCAAAATGGTGCCCCGGGCTCCGTTCCCAGCACAGTAAATAAACCAACAGGAACCGAAACTGCTCTTGGCCATGCCACACGCCTTTCCCCACGGCACAGAGAGAAGCTGTGGCAGACTTCTAGTTTCCCTGCCGCAGGTAGGAAAAATCAAGTGGGAAAGAAACGGAATGACTGAAGTTTCCGCCACCTGCACGGCCGTGTGGCGCTCGTTACAGCGGGTCTGCTCCACGAAGACGGGGAAGCCCCCACAGAGGATGGGGGGTGGCGGCCACAACGAGCAGATTCTCAGGGAGAAGAGCCTCGCTCCTTCTGCCTCGGGTGGCATGGGGGTTTCCCAAGGCCCACCTGCTAGAGGCTTGGTCTGAAGGTTGGCACCCCTGGAAGGTTCTAGAAACATTCAGGGGGCACCCAGCAGGAGTTCCCGGTGACTGGGTGTCTCCTCAGAGGGGACCACAGGACCAGGGTCTCTCTGTCCCTCTCTCTGCTTTCCAACCATGAGGTGAACAGGCTTCTGCAGCCTTGAGCTTCTGCCACAGTGACGAAACCCCAAAACTGTGAGGTAAAACAAATCTTTTCTAACCCGGTAATCACAGGCACCTGTTACAGTGACAGGAAGCTCCTGACACATCTACTTAAAAAGACACAATGATTGTGTGATTAGTTTATCTAGTGCTTACTGAACATGTTGATGTACCACGAAGTTTTTTTTATTCATCGCCTGAGATCTGAAAATTATTAAAGGACCATCCAAGCAAAAAGGTTAAGAAGCCAGGTGCGGTGGTGCACGCCTGTAATCTGAGCAGTTGGGAAGCTGAGGCAGGAGGATCACTGTGAGTCAGCCTACACTACATAAGTGAGCTCAAGGCCAGGCTGCACCTGCGTTACATGGTGACACTTGTCTCAAAAAAAGAAGAAAAGGATAGCTGGGTGTGGTGGCACACACCTGTAATCCCAGCACTTGGAAGGCTGAGGCAAGAGGATCCGCTATGAGTTCGAGGCCAGCCTGGGCTACAAAGTGAGCTCAAAGCCAGCCTGAATTGCATAGACCCTGTCTCAAAAAGACAAAAAAAAAAAAAAAGAAAGAAAAGAAAAAAGGTAACACAGATGGAGATCAACCTTTCCTTGATAACTGTCAACACACAGGAACTTAATATACTAGTTTCTATTTTAAATATATGTTTGAACTCTTCTACAATAACAGCTGTAGGACTATCAGAGCAACTACACAAGGAGACAATCACCCAGGTTTTAAGAAATGAACTCAAGTCTGTACTGTCTGCAGCAGAAGAGAACGAAGCCGACCCCAGAAAGCAGAAGAGACAGACACAGCAGGAGACCTGGAGGCTTGCGGCCCTGGCCGTCCTCCCAAACGTTTGGGACAAGAAATCCTTTCACTGCGTAAGTGAAAGTTGAGATTTTTTCATTTAACACCCGGAAGTGTGGCCCAGTGCAAACTATACACATCCGTATTCATCTTCCTGAAGCATAAAGGGTTACCTTTGTTTCTTTTTTGTTTGTTTGATTTTTTGTTTTTTTCTCCGGTACCGGGAACTGAACTCACAACCTTGCGCTTGCCAGGCAGGCACTGTGCCACTGAGCTAAATCCCCAGCCCCTAAGGGTTACCTTTGGAATTCACTGAAATAGAAAGAGGCTCACAATGATGTAACTTTCGACCACTCTCAAACATCACATCAAACACCGAATACACCTGTGTCATAGTCGCTAAGTGCTGCTCCCAGTAACAAGAACCGGAGAACCTTGGGAAATTGCTGATAGCTGGCCAGGAAATTCCACCAAATGTCACTGGGCTCCAGTGAGTCTACACAGGCCACCAGCAAAGGTCTACAGGACGTGGGGGCCACTCGCCAGCCAAAGGGCAAACTTAAGCCCTAAAGCTGGAGACATAGCCGTAAGTTAATAACCTTGCTATTTAAAAACAGAAAAAAAAATTCATTGATCACCTTTGCATAACCAAATAGCCGGCAAGGAAAAATATTTCTCATCAGAGAACTCCAGCAATAAATACAGAAGGAACAGCCCCTCATGAAACAGTGAATTTGGGGAATCACCAGCAACATCTATACCAAAACCATGAGAAGAAAAGCTGATGCAGAACTCCACTGCAGACAGTTCAGGCAGCAAGGCATCACAGGACAGAGACAGAAAACACTAAACGGTTATTGCAAAAAAAAAAAAAAAAAAATTGGGCGTCCGCCTGTAATCCCAGCACTCGGGAGGCTGAGGCAGGAGGACTGCTACGGGTTCAAGGCCAGCCTGAACTGCATAGTGAAACCGTCTCGAAAAGACAAAAAAAAAAAAGTGCCCAAGTTTTCTGAGTAGGGAAGAGAAGCCAATTAAAAACACAAAGGGCAGACAGGACTCACAGGTAGTCTACACTGTAACCAATCTGAGTGTGAGCCACAGGAGGTGCGGGGCAGGAGCAGGGCCACCCTCCCAAACACTGGCAGACATCAAGGACAGCAGTGCCTACCAGAAGTATCTGTCGGCGTCCAGCAGGCACGGCAAGGCGATCCCGTACTCTCTTCTTTTGAGGAAGGCTCTGCCCTTCTCGTGATAGCCCATAGCCAACATGAGGGCCTAGGAACAGCGCAGATTTTAAAAAACATCATTTTAAATATAACAATACAAATGACACCAAGAAGCACATTCATTCCAAGCAAAAGTAAATAAGGCTAAAAAAAAAAATCACAAGATCACAACTCATTAAAAAAGCCAAAATTAAGAAAAATATAACTAAGATTTTATTTCACGTAAGTGCTGAAGCCGAACAGCCCCTCAGGGAGCAGCACCCGTGTCTGCGCGCAGCGGCTTACCTAGGGTCTGCGGACCGAAGCCGTTTGTAGTACTGTTAGACTGATCACAAAAAGGCAGCCAGCAGTTCTTACAGTCTCTTAAAAAGACCATTCCCTCCGCGTGCTACTTCCCCTCCCCACCTTTTTCAGGGAGGGTCTTGCTGTTGCCCCCGCTGGTCTTGGAACTCCTGGGCTCAAGGGACATCCGCCTGGGCATGTGAGTAGCCGGGGCTTCAGGTGCACACCCCTGCAGCTGCGCTCACTTTCCACTGGTTATCTGTCAACTTCAGTATTCCCAAAGCAATTCTGAAAGCTTCAGGTTTGGTAAACGTCACCCAGAGGCTCACGTGTTAAACACTGGCTTGGTACCCAGGGGACCTGGCAGGAGGTCCTGCGGTCACTGGCATCTCACCCTTCAAGGGGACCATGCAACTCTGGCTCTCCCTCACCTCCCGGCTGACAAAGTGTGCAGTTTTGCTCTGCCACCTGCTACACTATGCTGTGCTGCCTGGCCACAGCCCCGAGGATACAGAGCCCATCAACCATGTACGGGCACCTCCACAACTGTGAACCTGAATTAACCTTTCCTCTTCATAAGTTTTGATTTCAGGTATTTTGTTATAGTAACAGGAAAGGTGATTCAAAATTTTTGGAATTCATTAAGATTTTTTTTTTCATTAATCTTTCTGGATGTGAATTTTCACATAATTCAGTCTTACGATTTAATAGTCTTTCCAGAAAAAGCTAAATGTCATCTAGGGCTGGGGATTTAGCTCAGCGGCACAGCACCTGCCTGGCAAGCACAAGGTCATGGGTTTGACTCCTGATACCGGAAGAAAAACAAAAAAACAAAAAACAACAAAAAAAGAGCTAATCGTCATCATTCAATGTTAAGAGAACAGCAAGTAAATAATCACCAACATTTAAAAAAAATAGCTTCAATTCACTGACAGCTCAAACACTAATTCACATAGTTCTTTAATTAAAACTTACCAGGGCTGGGCTTGCTGGCATACGCCTGCAAACCCAGCACTCAGGAAGCTGAGGTAGGAGGATCACCAAGTTTGAGGCCAACCTGGGCTACATAATGAGTTCAAGGCCAGCCTGTACTGCATAGTGAGACTATCTCAAAAAAACCAGAAAAACGAAACAACACCCCTTCTAAACTAAAAAACAAAAACCAGAATAAATAGTGAAGCCCACTCCAAACTTTTCAAGTTTTTTTGAGAGAGGGTCTTGCTGGTCTTGAACTCACTATGTAGCCTAGGCTGGCCTCAAAATTGTGGCAATCCTCCTGCCTCAGCCTCCCAAGTGCTGGGATTACTGGTGTGCACCATCATGCCCAGCTTCCAAACTGTCTCTTAAAGACAGAGTAACAGGTGGCATGTGTGGTAGCATACACCTGTAGCCCTAGTACTCTTGGAGGTTGAGGCAGGAGGATCCCAAATTTGAGCCCAGTCTGGACAACTTAGTGACATAAAAAGTGAAGAAGAGCTGGTGGGAATGCAGCTCAGGGTAAGGCCCTGGGCTTAAACCCTAGTACCAGAAAAGCAACAACGACCCCTAGTCACTGGAGCCCTTCATTTAAGAAGCACCTGGGCCTGGCCTAGAGACCGCAACAATCTGAAGCCATCTCTGTTCTGACCAGAGACCAGGAAGGAGGCGTGGCCCCAGCACTCACCTTCTTCTGTGTCGGGGGGATGCGGATGGACCTGCCGGTCTGGTTCGCGATGTCCAGGTAGGGTGTGGTTTCGGGGTCCACCACCATCTCGGCTGCAGCAAAACCAAAGGAACCCCGTTAGTTCAGTGACAACTCCAGCCAGCAGTGCCAGCACGCAGAGCGCGGGCTGCAGGGGACCCCACCCGACACACGGTTCGGGGCTTGCCACCGTGGTGCGCTGAGGAGGGGACAGCCCCGAGCGCTGCGTACCCCTCTTTGCCAGGATCTCCAGCCCCTTCTTCGTCCTCTGAATGCGCTTCTCCTTCAGCTCGGCCTCGTTCTGCCTCTCCTCCTCCTCCTGGGAGGTCTTCCGCACCTCCTCCTCCGACTGCCGGAGCTCCAGCACCATCGCCTTCACGTTGTGAGTCACCCCTTGCTCTTCCAGGCTCTTCCCTGTCAACACCAGAATTGCATCCCTAAGAACATCACTTATCGGTCAGCCGGGCGTGGTGGCGCACGCCTGTGATCCCAGCCCTCGGAGACTGAGGCAGGAGGATCGCTGTTAATTCAAGGCCAGCCTGGGCTACATAGTGAGCTCAAGGCCAGCCTGAACTGCACAGTAGGACTCTGTCTCAAAAAGACAAAAAAAAATTAAAAATAATAAAAATAAACTTATAGTCACAGTTCATTCCCTGTATGTGTGCACAAGCACTTGTGAACATCAGGCCACATCACAGACAAGAATGTGCTTGGCCGGGTTTGGTGGCACACGCCTGTCATCCCAGCACTGAGGTGGCTGAGGCAGGAGGATCGCTGTGAGTTTAAGGCCAACCTGAGCTACATAGTGAGATCCTGTCTCAAAAAACAAAAACAAAACAAAACAAAACATTAAAAGCTAGCTCTCTATGCAAAAGTTAGCCAGGTACACAAACCTAACAAGAATTACATCAAAGATATACAAGAGCACCAATGAAAAAGATAAACACAGATGCAAAAAGATTTTAAAATAATGTCATGTACTATAAATGCAAAATTTGGGCCAGGGACATGGCTCAGCGGCACAGTCCCTGCCTAGCAAGTGCAAGGTCCTGAGCTCCATTCCCAGTACCCCCCACAAAAAAACACCAAAATTTGAACACAGTTCTGGAAAATTCTAGCTGTATTTCTTTAAAGAAAGCTGACAATCACTCTGACATTTAAATAAGATCCGTAAGTCCTAAGTCAACTGCATACAACAGAACCCCGAAGGAGGCTCCCTCACCAGGGACAGACACACAAGAAGGCGAACACTGAGGTAAGCAGGACGGAGGTGCGCGACAGGGGCCCGAAGCCAGAGGAAAGGAGACAGCACTAGTAACCAGGCCCAGGGCACTGAAGGAGGAGACGGCGGGGTCCTGACCCCGTGGACACAGGGAGTCTCTGACAGATCTAGAGTCCTCTGCTGCATTCAGCTCGGAATGTACAAGTAAATGCAGACTCTTCCTGTGATTCCCGCTTTGGGGAAAGAACTTCAACAGAACACAAAACGCGAGGCAGTGGATTAGACAACATCCAAAGCAAGGACCCCGTCCATGGACACGAGCCGCACAGCGATGAGGGGGCCGGGGAAGGGCGTCTGCGGCGCGTGGCGTACACAGCAGTGGAGAGGAAGGCGGGTCCATCAAGCTCAGAAAATGTGAACTTGTTTCCTGAGGCCCCAGAGACCCACCGGAAACGGATGAAAGCCAGGACCACTGCAGGAGCGGCTGTCTGCCCGGCCCTCCGGCTCCGGCCGCCAGCGAGCAAGCCCCGCGTGAGCCAGTCGGTGCCCGCTTCCCGGAGAGACTCGAGTCTGAGTAAGGCTCACTGCTCCACGCCGCAGGCGGAGGGGCTGTGCTGCGCACGCTGCCCCGGCGCACGGTCAGAGCACCCCGCCTCCGCCCTCTAAAGGGTGGGGGGCATCTCCCCTCCGGCCTCCCACAACCCAAGCTGTCCTCTGAGACCGCCAAGTGTCCTGCGAGGGCGACAGCGCCCGTCACTGGGAACTGCGGCTGTGGCCTCCGTCCACCCTCCGGGCCACTAGGGTCCTCAGCCTCCCCAGCGCCCGTCCTGGCGCTCCGAGGCCAGGCTCGCAGGCGCCCCGCCTGCTCCCGCAGGAGCCCGCCGCGCCTCACGCCGGCCGGCCCTCCCCCTGCCCAGCACACAGCGGGCGGGGACGCGGACAGGCGCGCTGCTTTCTGCTTCACGCTGCTCTTCTAGCGAACGTCCAACACAATGGGTTTTGGGTCATAAATGTAACAGAGTTAGACATGTATGAAGAGAGGAAATGTGAGAAAAAACGCAGTCACTATTTCTGTATTAACTCGATGGAAACTCTCCGTAACGTACCTAGTTGAAGCAGTTTCTTATTTATGACAATCTTGATGTAATTTTCTTGAAATCCAAAAGTTTCAGCTATTCTGTAAAATAATACTAGTGAGAACTGCAGGAAGGCAAATTTGTTATTATCCATTAAAAAGATTCTACTCATCATAGCCACTCTGCACATTTCACTCAGAAACACACGGTATTCCAACTCTGCCTCGTAAGCTCACCCTCAACGCGGCCGGCTCCCCGACCGCTGCCTCAAGCCGTGTCGGCGAGAAGCCCTCTTCCACCCCCACCTCACTGGTGCTCCCTCCGTCAGCAGGGCAAAACCCACCCGACACCTCCGGGGTCTCCTCGGAGAAGCCCATGCGGGGTGTCCAATAAACGGCACCTCCCGAATCCAACACTAGCCTGCCCGACACCCAAGGAAATGGGTACATGAGCTAAAGGAACGGCGACCACCGCACCCCAGTGGCGGTCAGAACGCTAACTAAAAACATGCCAAGTGGACAGACATTTAATTCTCACAGGTGCTTATTCATTTTCCTATTTATTTCATGTGATTCCACTAAATCACATGCCCTTTTCTGAGTGAATAAAATTAGTTGCTGATGAAAAAAAAAAATCCTCATTAAAAAGGAAGTTTTGTGCTAATATTGTATGGACACAATATCATGCTTGGCTGAGCACGGTGGCACACGCCTGTAATCCCAGCACTCAGGAGGCTGACGCAGGAGGATCGTTGCAAGTTCGAGACCAGCCTGGGCTACAAAGTGAGCTCAAGGCCAGCCTGAACTGCGTATCAAGACCCTGTCTCAAAAAAAAAAAAGAAAAACATGCCTGTATCCTCTACTCTGAATAACTACTAGGAAGACAGCAATAGCAGTATATCAACTATTGTAACTGTCCTACCAACCTGTTTTGAAGCTCAAGTTTCATTACGCTTATCTTTTTTTCCTCTTAAAAAAAAAAAAATCCCAAGAACAACCGAGTAGTTGAAACAATCCATCAGGGCTTTTGCTGCCGTGACAGGCAGATATTTATTTATTCCACAGATGGGACAACAGCTTGCAATCAGCTAAAACATTTTGCTGAAGGGCACTGTAAGCTATCAGCGCACCAAACAATGGAGTTAAACAGTAACAAAGGAGTCACGGGGCACTTCTGCCCTCCATGCATCCATCCAAACATACACTGAGCCTCTGAGCTGGGCCTGCATCCTCCACCCCACCAAGGCCACACGGGGAGCAAGCAGCCACTCAGCCATCACCGTGCGCCCAGGCATGGCCCCCGCCGCCGGTGGTGTGTCTGGCCCTTCTGTAGGGGAGGAGGGAGGCCCTGACGGCTCCCACACGGTCCCACGATGAGATAGGCTCAGGGGGGCAGGCAGAGCCCGTACTTACTTAGACCGCAGGTCTCTGCCACTGATGTGCAGTCGGGTCTCCAGCACATTTTTCTTGTCCTATTTAAAATGAAAATGAACAAAATAAAAAGTGTTGCTGGGTGGCACACACCTGTAATCCCAGCACTCAGGAGGCTGAGGCAGGAAGATGGCTGCAAGTTTGAGACCAGCCTGGGCTACACAGTTAGCTCAAAGCCAGCCTGAGCTACATAGTGAGACGCTGTCTCAAAAAAACAAAACAAAACAAAAAAATAATAATAACAGTAAAGCGTACTAAGATTTAACATTTCCTGATTTATGAAGCCTGGAAAGCTGGTATCAGAGACGTTAACCCAGGTCACTGGTTAGACGCGACGCGGCCTGCCTGGAAGAGACTCCCGCTGAACACAAACCAGAGCACGCTGACCAGGAAGCCCCAGTGTCCCTGAGGTGGCGGCCGCAGGTCGCTTTCCTCAACACTGTCCCTCAGCCTCCCTCACACACACCAGCCCTGCGCCCCCTTCCCGCCCTCCTTCCTCAGTCCCCGCCCACTAGTGCGCGTTCTGTGTCCAGACTTGCCTACGCTGGACATTTCAGAGGAACAGGGCCGCACAGCACGCGGCCTTTCGCACAGCATGTTTCGGGGCTCATGCACACTGCAGACGCACCAGCGTTTCACTCTTCTCCACCGCTGAACAGCTTCCTATGCGACAGACATCACCGTGTCCACCCGTTCATCTGCTGGGGGACCTCTGCGCTGCTTCCACTTTCCGGCGATTGTGCAGTGCTGCTCGGAACGTTCACGTTCGAGTTTGTTACACACACACTGCTGTTTCTTCTGAGAGGCACCACTGAGCGCCCGGCCACCGGGACACAACTGGACGTGGGCCACCAAGAGCATGGCCCTGAGATGAGGTGGCCCCGCAGGCCATGTGGGCCCTGCTGGAGCACGCAGCTTGCCCCGTCAGGCCTCCAGAGAACCGGAAAAGGATGAATTCCTTTGAGCTGTGTCCCGCTGCACAGGGTTCTATAAATGTGGGGTCCTCTTTGATCCCCCAGTATTTCTGACGATTGAACTAGGAAGGGTAACACTGTGACACATGGCTCTGTGACATCTAGAAGGTCCAGGACAAACACACCCCCCTTGGGAGTGGGCCAGTGTGAGAGGCCACAGCAAAAAGTAGTCACTTCAAGGCACTCCAGCTTTGAGTAGCAACTTTACAAAAACAATTACTTCACCTGTAATCCTGGCACTCAGGAGGCTGAGGCAGTAGAATCACTGCACCTTCAAGGCCAGCCTAGGCTACAAGGTGAGTTCAAGGCCAGCCTGAACTATATAGTGAGACCTTGTCTCAAAAAAAAAAAAAAAAAAAAAAAATTCATCACATCACTAAGTATTGGTAAATCTGGGGAAATTACTCACTTTTTTTAGTCTTGAAGGCAAAAACACCTCAATCGTAGCAATTCCAGTTGTTTTGTAATTTTCATTTCCTGTTCCTCGTTCAATTGCTTTGCAACGTATTTCTTCTATTATCTTTTCTACTTCACTTTCACAGCATCCTAGCTTGTTAGAATATCTATTAGCAAGGTCCTAGGAAAAAAATCAGAAGACAGCTCAATACGAGACAACACCAAACAGCAAAACAAGGGCAAAACCCAGAAAAAGGCACAAAGGACCCCAAGGAAGCCAACTCTGAAGGGCGGAGGTCCCCTTACTGTACTGAAGCCCAGCCACAGCTCTTAGGGTCCAGGAAAAAAACATGCACAGACAGGGACAGAGGTTTGACGGACAAAGTGAAAATAACTGGGACTATTCTGGGGGAAAGAGGGTAGCAGACTGACTCTTGTGCCCTCAATACATTAAGAAATTATTTTAGGGAACAGCTCACTGTTCAACTCTCCTACAGGGGAAAGCAGCAAAACGAGAACACATTCTAATTTTTTGAACTTGTGAGAACAAGACGGGATACACACTCTGTCTTGGTTACTTTTCTCTCATTGCTGAGACACAATACCTGACACCCAAAATTAAGGATAGGTTTATTGAGCTCATAGTGTGTGGAGGTTTCAGTCTCTACTTGGCTGGCTCCAAGGCAGGGTGGCATATGACAGAGGGCAACAGTTCTTGGCAGGAGAAGACAGCAAAAGCAACAAGAGCACAAGGGACGAGCAAGCCTCTTGTCCTCCCTTATATTACAGGCAGGCTACCCGCCCTAGAGCAGGTGTAGCACTCACACCCCAACCCTAACACTAGACAACGAACCAATCACAAACTCTAGATTCAGCTGCCTGGGCATGACAGTACAAGGCTTTGGGGGTCATCCAGACACAAACCATTAACACACGCAAACAACGTTCTCAATAGAAAATTCTAAGTCACTGGTTGTACAAACTATTTGCCAAGGAGAAGTTTAGAATTTAGAAAGAAACTTCAAAGATTTAAGGGGCCTCAAAAAAGGATGTGAGGGCGGGCATGGTGGCACAGCCTATAATCCCAGAACTTAGGAGGCTGAGGCAGGAGGATTGTTGCAAGTTCGAGACCAGCCTGGGCTACAAAGTGAGCTCAAGGCCAGCCTGAGCTGCACAGAGAGACCCTGTCTCAAAAAGACAAAAAATAAATAAACAAATCAAAAAGACAAAAAACAAACGCAAAAAAAAGGAAAGATGCTCATGACATATATAAAGTTACAAAACAAATGTGAATATTTTATTTTTAAACTATTAACTTATTTAGGGCTGGGGATTTAGTTCATCGGCACAGTGCCTGCCTGGCAAGCGCAAGGTCATGAGTTCAATCCCCGGTACTGGAAAAAAAACAACAACAACCACCACCACAACAAAAAAAAACTATTAACTTATTTATAATAAAATTTTAAATGGTCACACAGGAAAACTAGTATACTATAATCAATACTGATGATGTTTAATGCATTTTCAAAATGTATTCTTTATCTATTTTGCATTTAATGATACTCCTGCACCACATAACTATACATACAACGTTGGTCTCATAAAATATAATGGAGTTAAAACTTCCTATTGCCCGAGGATGATGTAAGTACGTTACTCAAATCTGCGGTAACGCTGGGTCCACAAACCTACTGTACTGCAAGTCGTGTCAAGGTGCAGCAGATCCAATTCTGTACAGGAAAATGCTTCTTTAATAATGATAAGAAATGACTACGCCCTGCTAAGCCAGCAGCAGCCTCCCACCTCCCAAGTGAAGTGTCTCCAGCCCAAGCCCGGTGCTCAGCCGGCGGTGAAGCAGCTCCTAAGCACATGTGTACACAGGCTGAGCACTCGTAAGATGAAGAGCCGAAACCCAAACTTTCTGTCTGAGTGCCAGCATGATGTTCAACACAAGTCTCAGACCTGTGCTTCTCAAGGTACTTCAGGTTTTAGCTTTTTAAGATTATGGACAGGCCCAGAACTCTGGGAGCTGAGGCAGGAGTATTACCAGTGTGAGCCCTGCCTGGGGAACTTGGTGAGTTGGTTGGACCCTGTTTCAAAAAGAGAAGGGGCTAGAGATGTAGTTCAGGGCAAAGACTAGGGATGTTCAGCTTGTAAAGTCTATGCAAATATTTCAAAACCTGAAAGGCTCTGAAATGCATTTCTAGTCTCATGCATTTGGGATAGACACATTTAACCTATACACATTTTTTAACCCAAGGGAATTCATTACTTTCATCACCAAAAAACATGCAAACTTTTAAATAAAATATTTTTTTAAAAAAATAATGCTCTGCTGGGAGTGGTGGCACATGCCTGTAATCCTAGCACTCAGGAGGCTGAGGCAGAAGGATCCTTGCGAGTTCGAGACCAGCCTGTACTACAAAGTGAGCTCAAGACCAGCCTGAACTGCACACAGAGACTCTGTCTCAAAAGGACAAAAATAAAGAAAAATAATGCTCTATCTTTTTGAAAAACCCAACTACTTAGCCAGTGAGGGTGCCTGTTTTCCTCCTGACACCACAATGGGTTCTATGGTTCGATTCAGTTCTGACTCTCACTACCCAGAGTTGGAGTTGGACTTCACAGGTCTGAGGGTTCCGGGCCACAGAAGGCCCTCACTGGAGGACCAGGTGCCCAGGGTCCAGGCACCAGGTTACCCACACTTCTGTCCCACAGGGCTATGAGGCTGAGTCCCCACCAGCCCCTTTCCCGATGTGCTAATCCGTCATGAGCCACAGAAGCGGGCACACAGGACACTTACTATTCTGTCCCAAGGTAAAGCAAACAAACGGACAGTGAGGTAAGAGGTCAGGTTGGGAAGGCCCAACTGGTGCCTCTGTGCTCCCCAGGGTTGCCCTCAACCACCTCCAGCACCTAGAAGCTGCCTGAGCCGGTCATTTCGGGTTTTTACAGAAGCAGGGTTAGTGTCCTAATACCACTTCCTGCAGCTCTCCCTTCCCCAGAGGCTACAGCGTGGAGCCGAAGTTCCAAACAGCTCTTTAAGGTTTGCTCTTCTGGTGCCCAATCCCATTCTGAAGCTCTAGGGGCCACCAGGCAGCATTAAGACAAAAGATGCTCCTACCATGCTCACCATTCCCACGAGGGTTTTAGCTCTGCCAGGAACCAGATGGAACTAAGATCCAGTATCTCCCCCATCACGTACAGCCAAGAAGCCACAACAAGCAAATTCTGAAATGGGCTGCCAAAAAACAAAATAGAGCAGGCCGGGCACGGTGGTGCACACCTGTAATCCTAGCACTCAGGAGGCTGAGGCAGGAAGATTGCTGCAAGGTTCAAGGCTAGCCTGTGCTATAAGCGAGTCCAAGGCCAATCTTAACTACACAGTGAGACCCTGTCACAAAACAAAACAGGCCAGGCATGGCAGCACACGCCTGTAATCCCAACACTTGGGAGGCTGAAGCAGGAGGGTTACCCTGAGTTCAAGGCAAGCCTGGGCTACATAGTGAGCTCAAAGCCTGCCTGAACCACATGGGGAGACCCCGTCTCCAAAAAAAAAGGGCAGAGACATCCTATGGTGTGAACCTGGATAGTTTCCCAAGGACTCCTACAGTAAAGGTGTAGTCCCAGGGAGGCCTTAGGAGGTGGGGTCTAGTGGGAGGTCCTTGTCATCTGGGACACACCCTTGAAAGAGATCACGTCCTCCTCCTCCAGTTACCCCTCTCACGAGCTGAGCAGTGTGCTCTGTCGCGAGGTCCCACCAAGACCTGCCACCCCTGCTAGAGGCCCAAAGCCCTGGGAACACACTTGATCTTGGAGTGGAACCTCCAGGCTAGGAACCAGAATACACCTTTCTCTTTCTAAATGAATGGTGCCAGGTACGTTGCTATAGTGACAGAACTGCCTACAACAACGCCTGAGAAGTGAGCCAGTCTCACGTTCATAAATTATCAGGGGTACAGCTCAGTGGTGGACTGCTTGCCCGGCACAGGTGGCCCTGGGTTCAATCCCCAGCATGACAAAAATACCTGTATCCGTAAACAAAAATAAACTTGGGGACTACTAGCAGAGTGGGTGGGTACCTGCTCATCACTAATGTTTTTAGTGATGTCCTAAGTTTATATGGCTGTGCCTGGCAATTTCTGGTGATCACAATCTTACCAGCAAGGAGATTTATAATACCGCTAATTACTTATGTCTTAAAAGAAAAAATACCTTTAATGCCAAACCAACTTCTTTATTTTCTTCTGTATATGGAGGTTTCCAAAGTTGAATCTTGTCTTCCCTTAAAAACTGGGTCAATTTTGCTTGAAGATATTTCTTTTGTGCCATCCTTGAAAACAAAACTGTATATCAATAAAACCCCAAACATATTTCAAAACATTTTATAACTTATCTAACAGTAAGGTGCTACATAGAGTGAACAAACCTCCCCTTCATCTGTTTAATCTATTTTTTTAAATTTTTCTGAAATCAGGACTTGGACTCAGAACCTCATGCTTGCCAGGCAGGCCCTGTGCCACTGAGCTATATCCCTGGCACACCCGTTTTATCTTTTTTTTTTTTTGGTCTTTTTGAGACAGGGTCTCGATATGCAATTTAGGCTGGTCTTGAGCTCACTTTGTAGCCCAGGCTGGTCTTGAACTTACAACAATCCTCCTGCCTCAGCTTCCCGAGTGCTGAGATTACAGGCATGTGCCATCATGCCTGGTTAACCTGTTTAACCTAAATTACTAGTTTTAATTAGCTTTAGACTTTTAAAAATATATATATACTTAAAAAGTACATAATATGTTCACTGATTTACATTCTATGTAATATAAAATATTTCAAAGTTGATAATATGGCTGGACATCGTGGCACAGGCCTGTAATCCCAACACTCGGGAGGCTGAGGCAGGAGGATCGCTGCCAAGTTCGAGGCCAGCCAGGGCTACAAAGAGAGCTCAAGGCCAGCCAGAACTGCACAGCAAAACCCTGTCTCAAAAAGACCAAAAAAAAAAAAAAAAAAAAAACGGGGCCAGATATATAGCTCAGTGGCACAGTGCCTTGCTTGGCAAGCGCAAGGTCCTGAGTTCGATTGCCGGTACCCCCAAAAAAGAAAATTTTGGCCGGGGATATAGCTCAGTGACACAGGTACTTGCCTGGCAAGTGCAAGGTCCTGAGTTCGATTCCTGGTACCAAAAAAAGAACAAAAAGGTCTGGCAGAGGGCAGAAAATTAGGGGATGTGCCATAACTTTAAGCGCTGAGAAGTCTGCCTGTGACACTTTGTCACACAGTCCCTCACTGCTTGTCCTCTCCACATGTGCACTATCTCTGCCCCAGAGCCACAGCCGAGCTGTCCAGGCGCCCTCGTGCATTCAAAGGGATGCATGAGGTTGCTAGGAGACGTGGGGCAGCTGGCAGGTACTGTGATCTGCCAGATTACACAAATAGTAAGAAAAGCAAGTTAGTAACTTGTGAGTGATCAACACACGTGAGAGTGAAGAAACACAGGAATTGATACAATCCAGGTAGGTAACTTTTTTCCTATCTTATGCACTTGAACCCAATTCACCTGATTTCTAAACCCAGTGCAGGGGCTTCATTACTGACAGCTAAGTGAGGGGGAACTACAGCAGGCAGGCAGGGCTGGGCCCTCCAGGGAGGCCGAGAAGAAGACGGGAACACATCAAAACCGGCTGACTAGCGCCCTAGGAAGATTCAAGTCACAACAGCTAGCTTTACATACTTCCCTAAAGGATAAACGGAAGCTTGAGATGACTGGTATCACCTTTTTGAGATTTCCCATTCTCTCACTGGGGGGCCATCCTTCCCACCAAGACCAAGACCACTAAGACTAAAAGCAAGCCTACAGATCATCAATCAAGGTTAATGATGTCACCATACGCCCTTGCTACCACTGGGTCAATACTGCCTAAGCGACTATACCTGCAATCTTACTGGTAAATCATAATTTTGACCCACGTTGTACCTGCCTCATGATTTTGCTCTATAAAACTTCCTTTGAGAACTAGGCTCAGGGGCTGGGGATCTAGCTCAGTGGCACAGCGCCTGCCTGGCAAGCGCAAGGTTGCGAGTTCGATTCCCGGTCCTGGAGAAAAACAAAAAAAAAGAGACCTAGGCTCATTGGCAACCCATTCAGGACACCACCTGGAGCTATTCTCTCAGTAGCTATTCCCATTCCCCATTCCTTTTCTCCAATAAAATTTCCTGCTCTTCAGTTCTGTTGTTCCTTAGAATTCATTTAACTCAGCATATCTGACATTTAGCACTTCCCTTTTATCAGCTTCAGTATTACATAAACAAATACACTTACAAGAAAGTCCCAAGCTATTTTATGAGAGTTGGGGGTTGGGAAATCAGCAGAACATGGAGGAGAAAAAGGAAGAAGGAATAAACACAATGCGGGAGGGCTCTGAGCATATTTTTTTTCCCAGTGTCTTTTTTTTTTTTCGCTGAGCATATTCTAGGTGACCCATGAAAGAATACTAGATTTCAAGCACTAACAAAGCTTTGCTTCTCACAGTAAAGAATACCAGTACTTTAGGAACATCTGCTCTTCAAACACAACTGAAAAGACCACTGTACACACTACTCATAAATCTTCGGAAATTGAGTGAAAAATCCCAGTAAGTGGCCAGTGGAGGGGAGGGCTGCTAACAGGACCCCAGCTATTCGGAAGGCTGAACACACTGAGACCCTAACCAAGCCACTACCTAGGGGACCACAGGGTGTCACAAGCCCAGCCTGCACCCCACACTCCAGAAAGCAAAAAACAGCTACAAGGTCCACACCGGTGTAAAACACAATGTTTAAACTATTAGCGGGCGTGGTTGCTCAGGCCTGTAATCCCAGCACTTGGGAGGCTGAGCAAGAGGATCGTTGCGAGTTCGAGACCGGCCTCAGCTACAAAGTGAGCTCAAGGCCAGCCTGAAGTGCATAGCGAAACCCTGTCTCAGAAAGACCAAAAAAAAAAAAAAAGAAAGAAAGAAAAAGAAACTATTGAGCTGGGCGTGGTGGTGCCCTCCCGGCACTAGGGAGAGCAAGGCAAGAGGACTGATTGCTGCGAGTTCAAAGCCAGCCTGAACGAGGTAGTGAAACCATGTCTAAAAAAAAAAAAAAGGGGGTGGCGCACGCCTGTAATCCCAGCACTCGGGAGGCTGAGGCAGGAGGGTTACGGTGAGTTCGAGGCCAGCCTGGACTACAAAGTGAATTCAAGGCCAGCCTGAACTGCAGAGTGAGACCTTATCTCAAAAAGACCAAAAACAGTAACAGATTAAACTACTGTCTTGCAACCAACAAAACGTCAATTACTGACAACACAGCCAGTGCTAACACATGTTAATCAAGTTTTCAAAAAGTTTAACAAGCCCAGTTTTCGGTTTTAAGCGAACTGTAACTTCCACCCAGACGCGGTCTCCCCCTTTTTCACTTTCACTTTTGTAATGAACCGATCCAATCGACTTTCAATCAGAGCGTCGATCGGCACACGCAACACACCTACACACCCAAACACGTCGGGTGTCCACCGAAAGAGTGAGGAAAGATTGCGTGCTCGGACGAGGGCAGGAGGCTGAGTCAGACACGCGCCGACTCCTTCCGACTGCGGCGGGCGCGCCCTCGGGACGGCTAACGACGCTCCCCCGCGGCCCCGCCGCCGCGCAGGCTGCTCACCCGCCGCCACCCCGCCCGGAGCAGACGACGCGGGCAGCCCGCAGCCGCGATCGGGCCGTCCCGTCGCCGGCCCTCACCTGCGCCACCGGCTCGGCCGCCGCTGCGTCCGCTGCGACCCGCCGAGTGCCCGGATGCGACTGGGCCGCCGTTTGTTTTCATTCCGGGTGATGCCGGCCCCGCCCCCGCCGCGCAGTGCAGCCCGGAAGGAAGGCGGTGGGCGGGGCCGGAGGCAGGGCGGGGGCGGGGCCATGCCGGTCCCCCCCTGGGTGGGCGGGGCTATTGCGGGAGTGGGCGGGACTGCACCAAAGCCGCGCTGGGACGAGAAGAACGGAAACGGCTGGGGGAGGGAAGGGAGTGGGGCGGGCTCAAGGCACGGGGCGGGGCGATATGTGGGCGGGGTTATGTTCGGGGGCGGAGCTAAAGTGGGTGGGCGTTTGAATTAGTTCAGGCTTGGGGAGGATAATCCAGGCCAGGTGAGCGATGCAGACTCGGCCCAGGCTGTGTGCTCAACGTCAGACGAAATTGAGTCTAGGGTTTTTTTCCGGGGCGCGGTGGTTCTGGGGCTTGAACCCAGGGCCTCACCCTTGATAAACAAGTGCTCTACCATTAAGCTACATATCCTACCCCTTTTTATAATTTTTTTTTCTTTTTTATCTCTTTGAGACAGGGTCTCACTATGCAGTTCAGGCTGGCCTTGAACTCACAATGATCCTTCTGCCTCAGCCTCCCAAGTGCTGGGATTACAGGCATGGGACACCAGGCCGGGCTTATAATTTTATTTTGAAACAGTTTCCTAAATTGCCCAGGCTGGCCTGGAACTTGCAATCCTCCTGCCTCAGCCTCCTGAATAGCTGAGATGACAGGCGTGTGCCACTTGAGGCTGGCTGTGTCTGGTCCCACCAGCGCTTGGCGGGACCTGGGCTAGTCGCTAACGGGTAAGAGGAACCCTACTTCTGTGCCATGCTGTGGCACCCAGTGAGAGTCCTGTGCAGAGTGCCCGCTAAGTGCTGCCTCTAAGACCGCGTCACTTGTGCTAATTGGCCACTCCTGTTTTCATGAGATTCGGAAGCGGTGATCCTTCCGGCCAGCCCAATGCTGCGTCCACAGGGTGCTGTACAAGCGCAGGAGGAGTGCGGAAATATTACTCATGACGCCCGGAAACTCTGTTCACCACATTGAGGGCAGATGCCGGCGAGAAGTGGAGTCTGATCTGGGTTGGTCTCCTTTTTATTGGCCAGTGGGACACTAGGAAATGTGACAGCGACCAGCTGGTCACCAGCATGCGGGGGAGCCTCACAGAGACACCTGAGCCAGCCCAGCCCGGAACTGCCTGGGCTCTGTGACTCAGGAACCGAGTAGCATGGTTGTTATTTTAAGCATTAGGTTTGGGAATAGATTGTTATCCAGCAAAAGCTAAAAGATACAGCCTGATATCAAGGCAGAGTAAACTACAGTCAGGCCTTACTTGTGAGGCTGAAATAGGTAGCTAACTGGAGGCAACAATATCTGTAAATAATCTTTAGCAGTTTAAAAGAAACAAATGTCAATTTGTTTCTTTGTAACAGAGTAGGTAACAAATTTCCTTTTTTGTTGTTGTTTGAGATAGGGTCTCAAGCTGGAGTGGTAGCACATGCCTGTAATCCTAGCACTGGGGAGGCTGAGGCAGGAGGATTGTTGCTTGAGTTCGAGGCCAGCCTGGGCTTCAAAGTGAGGTCAAGACCAGCCTGAACTGCATAGTGAGACCCTGTCTCAAAAAGACAGAGAGAGAGAGAGAGAGAGAGAGTCTCACATGTAGCCCAGGCTGGTCTTGAACTCATAGCAATCTTCCCGCCTCAGCCTCCTGAGTACTGAGATTACAGGTATGCACCAGCACACCCAACAACAAATTTACTTCACCAAGTAAAACTTGATGCTTTTTCTGAGGAGCCTATAAAATCTCTATCTTTTCTTAGAGCTCACTATGTGATCTTAAAGTTTTCTTGATAGTTACATTAGCGTATATTTTTACCTTCTGAACGTTTTATTGAAATATAATTCCTAAGCCCTACAACTGACCAATTTGAATGGTTCATTTCAGCGGTTCTCAGTGTGTTTGAAGAGCTGCGTTCCCATTACCACAAATAATTTTAAAACATTTTCAGTATCCACAAAAGCACCCTGTGCCCATTTGCACTCAATATTTAACTTGCCCTAAACTCGCAGACTACCCATCCCCCATTTCCCCATGCTCCTCCCACCCCCGGCAACCACTGATCTACTTCCTGTCTCCTTGATTGGGTTGGAACATACCGTAAAAATAGCATCATATACAGTATGTGGTTTTCCGCCACCAGCTCCTCTCCCTGAGCCTAGTGTTTCCAGTGTTCCTCCCTGGGGTTCCATGTACTGGGACTTGATTCCTCTTCAGCGCCAGTTTCCTATCATACAGCTGTGTTTGTGTATCTGTTTGTCAGTTCATGGACATTTGGACAGCTTCCACTTTTTGGATATTACTGTGAATAATGCCCCGGTGAAATTAAGGAACAGTTCTTGGGGTGTGAACATGTTTTCAGTTGTCTTGAGGATAGGCCTAGGCAGGACAGTCGGTGGTTCCTACGGTAGGTAATTCTATATTCCGTCTTTGGAAGAATTGCCAAATTGTCGTCCACAGCAGCTGTACCAGCTTTCGTTCTAACTGGCAAGAATGGTTGTAATGATTTCCATTTTTCACAACATTTTTTTGTTTTGTCTTTTTTGAGACAGGGTCTCAGTATGCAGTTCAGGTTGGCCTTGAGCTCATTTTGTAGCCCAGGCTGGCCTCGAACTCACAACGATCCTCCTGCCTCAGCCTCCTGAATGCTGGGATTACAGGTGTGTGGACATACCTATTTATAAGAGTTATTGTGCACCAGGACCGCCGAGGGCTGGGGTTCCCACCAGGGGCCTGGAAGGTATCTGTGGTTTCTCCCCTCGGGGGCGGTAAACCCCATCCAGGTGTGATTTACCAAGTGGGATCACCTTACCGCGGGCAGCATCCCTGTTCTACTTTGTTTCCCCTGTTCTATTTTGTTTCCAAAGGAAAGGGCTGGAAAGCCACACATGGTCAGGTGCTCGTGCAGAGGAGAAGGTTCCCTTAAGCAAGTACCTGCAGGCTCGGGAGAAACTCTCTGGGGCATTAAGTAATCGGCAACTTGGAACACCCGGCTGAACTGCATCAGCGCGGTGCTGGGTGCGAAGGCCCACCTGAGGATTGTTGCCAGCGGCATAAAAGGAGAACTGGAGGGGAAGGTGGTGCTGTTGATTCTCCCGGAGAAGCTTGTCATGCTGGTTTTCCCGATAGGAACTCAGCTGTTCTCACTGTCAGAGGAGCTCGGGTCCTCGCTGTGGCTGAGGACGGCTGCAGTTCTCTGGAGGGGAGCTCTGGTCCTCACTTTGAGCATCACTTCCTGGCTCCAGTGCAGATCCCTCAGCCTGCTGGCACAGATCCTTCCTCCCACTGGCACAGACTTTCTAGCTTCCACCACTGGTCTTTGGGCCTTCCCAGTGCAGATGCTTGATAGAGATTTGCACGGGACACGGTCGTGGGCTCTTGGCCTCCAGCTGGCTGCGTAGCGGACATTGCTGTGGGATCTGTAAGGAACGACATGAAGCAGAGAGCCCGCGCAACAGGCTTTTGTGAAAGCAACAGACGTATGGTTTAATACCCAGGTCAAGACAGAGGGCGACAAGGCCGGCCTTTTTTACGGGGACTGAAAGAAGGCAGGGCCATCAGGCGGCACGATGTTCATAAGCATCTGACGTCACAGTTCTGGGGCTGCCTTGCACCTTCGTGGCAGTCCTTGAGGGTCCGGTGTAAATTCTGGGGGTCTCCATGTCGGGGACCTGCAAGATTCCTTGTCCTTAGGGCCAGAGGGACATAGCTCAGTGGCATGAGCACCTGCTTGGTAACTGCAAGGTCCTGAGTTCAATCGCTGGTACTAAAAAAAAAAAAAAGGTTCCTTGTGCAGTCCTTTCTGTTTTACAATCTCCCGTGTTTGGTGCTGAGCTGAGTCTCCGTTGAGAACAATGGCTCTGCTGGCAAAGGGCGGGTGTGGGAGAGCCAGGTCCGATTCGAGCCCGGCAGCCCTCCCTGTTCTCTAAATGGAACTTATTGCCCAAAGTTTTGCAGCATTTGAATTAAACCTGTGCGTTTTCCTTTAGCACATGGAAGAGGCTAATCCTGCTACTTCCGGTTCACTGTTTCTACGGTCACTTAACCATCTTAGAAATCCACAGGGATTTTTTCCTGGTGTCTTTTATTTATTTATTTGTCTTTTTGAGACAGGGTCTTGCTATGCAGTTCAGGCTGGCCTTGAGCTCACTTTGTAACCCAGGCTGGCCTTGAACTTGCAACGATCCTCCTGCCTCAGCCTCCCAAGTGCTGGGGTTACAGGTGTGTGCCACCATACCTGGCTAGTATTTTTTTGTTTTGTTTTCTGGTTCCAGAAATGGAACTCACGACCTCGCACTTGCCAGGGAGGCTCAGTGCCTCTGAGGTAAATCTCCAGCCCCTTATTTATTTATTTATTTATTTATTTTTGAGACAGGGTCTCACCCTGTAGTTCAGGCTGGCCTTGAACTCATTATACTGCCAAGGCTGACTTTGAACTTGTGACGATCCTTCTGCCTTGGCCTCCCCAGTGCTGGGATGACAGGCATGTACCGTCACACCCAGCTTTTGTTGTTGTTTTTTTTTTTAATTTTAAGGGTTCTACCTCAGTCCTTGGTTTTTGTATTTGTCTGGTTAGAGTCACAGAACTTTCAGAATCTCATGGTTTTCATCAATTTGGAAAACTTGACTCTCGGCTATTATCTCATCAAATAAGGCACTCGGGAGGCTGAGGCAGGAGGATGGTTGCGAGTTCGAGACCAGCCTGGGCTACAAAGTGAGCTCAACACCAGCCTGAACTGCATAGCGAGACCCTGTCTCAAAAAGACAAAAAAAAAAAAAAAATATTTTCAGCCCTGTTCCCTCCGCCTAGAGCAATTAGTTCTGCAAGTATGGCTGACTTTTCACCCCTTGACTCTGTCATGGATCTGCCCCTAGGGGGAAGAATAATGCTTGCCCTACAGTGGCCTCCAGTCGAACTTCCTGGTCATTAACAACCCATCCCTTTTGTATTCTAATTTCTAACGGAAGCTTCTGTGAATGGGGAGATGGGCACGCCCAACTTCCCTGTCCCCCTGTATCGCACCCTACTTCGTTGCAATAAAGCCCTTACTCCCTAATCCTCCCGGAGTGCTGGTATCACACCCTCGCGCCGCCAAACACATCCGCTAAAACATCGTCAAGGCCTCAAACGTCCCGTCCTCCAGGGGGCGCTGCTCCTCTCAGCGGTCTTAATGCAATCAGAGGCTTCCTGACATAGCTAAATTTTTTAGAAATATTGTAGGCACTCAGACAGGGCTGGGCCCTGGAGAGGTCAGTGCAGAAGACAGGTGTGGCTGGAGGAGCATTCCTGAAGGTCAGGCCTCAGGACAGAGAAGGACTACACCCGCACACTTCCCCTCGGGATGTGCAGCAGGGATTGATATTCTAAAGAGACAGCCCCACCTTGGGTGGGGGCCACACCCTCTTTGACCCACCCCTTCCAGGAAAGCCCTCCGTGGTCCCTGTGTGCTTGCTGCTTGACTTGCTTCCCCATTTGATTCCCATTTAATCAAAATTACCTAAGTGAGCTGGGCGTGGTGACACACACCTTCACCCCGGCACTCAGGAGGCTGAGGCAGGAGGATCGCCCAGAGTTTCATGCCAGCCTGGAGAGACCTTGTCTCAGAAAACAAAACAAAACGAAACACCTAAGCGACTATACTCGTACTCTGATTGTTTGACGATAGTTTTATCTCACCCCATACCCACCTTGTGATTTCCCACTGGGTCAATATCACCTAAGCATCGGGTCGAATGCGCCGAGGAAGTCGTTGAGTTCCCCACCCCGAAGCTCAATGGCCCGACCGTGGAGACTGAGTCTACCTCTCACGTGTATGTCCAGCCTGTAGTCCATCCACAGCTTGCCCCCTCCCGTACAGAGCTCACTGGGATTGTTCAAGCCATGGTGGATGGTCAGCCAAGCCCGCAGCGAGTGCTAGAGAGGGTCTATGAGTGGATGGCGAAGGAAGCCTCTCAGACCCAAACCTCAAGTCAATTTTCGTCGCCTCTGGAGGTTGGGGCTTAAAAGTCCTGCTCCCAGGCCCGTGCCAGCACTTGGGCTTGCCAGTGGCGGGTTACTTCAAGCAGTGGGTTAATCTGAAAAAGGCTTACAGCTTCGCCAGGGGCTGCTGGCCCAATAACGGACTTCTCACAGGCCGGCCCCACAGCGGCGTGGATGACTGCCAGAACATCGCCAACATCGTGAAGAACTCGCACATGGAGGCTTCATCTTCACGCAGCCGTCAAAGCCATTCTGATTGGCCGAGGATGGGATGGGGCGGGACAGGGAGCTGCACCCCTCCCTCGCCAGAGCAAAGAAGGGAGAGCGGCGCATCCCTGCGCCCAGTGTCCCCCGGCTGCCTTACGGACTTGTGTGCGGGCAAGGGCTGGGCCACCTGGCCCCTCGGGAGCAGACACTTTGTGTCCCCCACCCCTCAGTCTCAGCCCAGGACTAGCCCCTTCCATGTGGGCCTGGGCCAGGGGGACCCAAGCACTCACTGCCTCCTCCTGGTACACAGGCGTCTGCTGGGGCCCCAAGCCCCCTGTACCCCTCCCATCCATAGTGTGTGGGGTGTGGTGCCCCCAGGACTCCAAGACAGATCAGGCCCCACCTTGCGTCCACCCCCAGCCCTGCTGTGAACGTGCCACTGAATAAAGTTGGGGAAATGAAGAAAAATTAAATTACCTAAGTGACTATACTTCTTTTTTTGAGACAGGGTCTTGCTATGCAGTTCAGGCTGTCCTCGAACTCGCAAGGATCCTCCTGCCTCAGCCTCCCGAGTGCTGGGATTACAGGCATACACCACCACGCCTGGCACTTACACTTGTAATTTTATTACTTAACTATAGTTCTGTCGCACTTTACACCCGCCTCACCTCGTGGTTTTACTCTGTAAGACCCCCTTGAGAAGCGGGTTCCCTGGGGCCACCCCGTTGGGACCCCTTCTGCCCCTCTTAGAAGCTTTCTTTCTCTCCATAAATACTTCCTACTCTTAACCGCCGCTGTTGGTAGAATTCATTCTTCGATTTGAGAGAACACGAACTCGGCGTAGCAGACATCCATCGGGGCGGGAGTTCTGTTCCCTGATGTCCTTTGGGTAATTTGGAGGTCCTGTATGATCCCTGTGCCATGCGCCCTGTATCCCCGGGTCGGGGCTCTGTCTAGCTCCCTCCCTCTGCCCCCAGCCGGGTCGGCCCTGCAGCCTCGCCCCTAAACCTCCACCCCACCCCAGGACTTGTGCCCTGTCCGCGAGTCCGCGAAACGCCCCCTCTGGGAGGATCTTGCAATTGCCGGTGTCTGCCGAAAGCTCCTCGGCGTCTGTCCCGACGGCGGCCCTGTGCGGGCTCAGCGCCCGGAACCTCCGCCGCACGACGCACCGCGCCCAGCTCGCCCGCGCGCCCGTCCCAGCAGGCAGAGGAGAGCTCTCCCAGCCCGGAGCCGCGGGGCCAGCGCTACTGGCAGGGAGCCTCTGGCTTTTCTTTTTTGTTGTTGTTTTTCTTCCGGTACTAGGAATCGAACTCACGACCTTGCGCTTGCCAGGCAGGCGCTTTGCTGAGAGCTATATCCCCAGCCCCGGCCTCTAGCTTTTGTAACACTCATCCAACTAACAGACTCCGGAAAGAGTCAGTGACCTGCTGTCCATCTCAGAGAAAGCTGGGGGCACAGCGCCGGCCTGACAAGCGCAAGGTCTGGAGTTTTTTTGTTTTGTTTTGTTTTTTTGGTACCGGGAATTGAACTCACGACCTTGCGTTTGCCAGAGCCAGGTAGGCTCTGTGCCGCTGAGCTATATCCCCGGCCCTAAGGTCCCGAGTTCAGTTCCCGGCACACACACAAAAAAAACCCGCTAACAGAAAGCTGTGGGAAAAACTCAGCAGACAGTCTTTGTCCCCCGACCTCAGGCTGTAATCATTTATCTTAGAAAACAGCATTACAAGGGCCGAGTGTGGTGGTGTTTGCTTGTAATCCAGCACTTGGGAGGCTGAGGCAGGAGGATTGTTTCGAGCTCTAGATCAGCCAAGGCTACAAAGCAAGCTCAAGGCCAGCCTGAACTGCATAGCGAGACTCTGTCTCAAAAAGACAAAAAAAAAAAAAAAAAAA